TGCAATTAATAAATATTGATGAAGGGTTTAAAGTCAAGCAGATGTGGGTGATTGCGATTAAGGGGGTGGGTGGGTTTGGAAGGGCAGCCATGACAACGGGTCATGAGCATGCTTGACAGGGCGATTGTGACAAGGGGTGCAAGTCAATCGACTGAGATGTGATAGGATTACAAAGGGGTTACAAGTTAGGGTTGTCTAAGAGGTTGTTGGTTTGTTTTGAAGTCTGACATCTGAAAGTATAATAATTATATTAAGAGGTATATTGGTATTAGTGAATTTTTTTCTCTAAACTCTAAATGCAAAAGAATGTTGTTTTGAATTCTAAATTCTGAATTATGAAAATTATCAAATATTCATTTTGACTTCTTATATGAGAATTTTTGTTTGTTGTTTTGGGAGTATCATTAGAAAACAAAAAGTTGTATGATTCAATTTTAAGAAATAAGATATAAGAGGAAACGAACATCTATTTTTCTCTTACAGTTAAAAGATTTTTCTAAAAAAATAAGAGTTAAAAAGAAACAAACAGACCGTAAGTGACTATGACGAGACAAGGTCAAGTTGGCCGGACGACTATGACAACAAGTCAAACTCGGGCTTTATCTGCACATTCATGCAGGACGAAACATAAAGTTAAATGAGTGTCCTTTAAAGTTTTTAAACGCAAAACCAAGCAACAACAATTGAAATCAACAAGTGTAAAACAACTGATATAAAGAAAAGGCCAAAACTGTTAAAGAAGTAATGCACCAACCACCTCATTAGCAAATGTCGAACGATAAGAACAAAAATACGGAAAATTTCCACTCCAATTGGGGAACGGATCCAATAATCTAGTGAGATCTGTATTTTGTCCTCGTGTCTCGGAGCAATAATCATAAACAAGAAAAAAAGAAAGGAACAGATATGAGATTTCAAAATTACAGCATGTACTCAACAAGAATACCGAGCAAATGGCATTAGAAATTAGTCGGCCAAATCTGAAAATTTTTAAATCATTTACATGAGAGACTGCCTACGTACTCTCACCTCTGGTGAGAGATGAGAAAGATTGTGAGGCAAGGTGGGAGCAGGGCGAGGCCACAGATGCACCTACGGAGTCGAGGTTGTAAGGCAAGGCCATGAAGGTTCTGCAGAGGCATTGACAGAGAGAGGTTGTGAGAAAATGCTGCAGAGGTGTCTGTGGAGTGAGGCAAGGTCATAGAGACACCCGTAGAGCAAGGATCAAAATATTGATACGTCCGATATGTTAGTATGGGCGTGTCGGATGAATCGATACCCTTTTTTTTACGTTTTATTTATTTTGTTTTTTTAAAACAGGTTCAGGGGATAGTTTAGGTCTCCTCCACACCCTGAACCGATCAGACCCCCAATACACCTACTATAGGGACATATCGGAAGGGTCCCGGAATGATATGGTTTGTTTATCGTCGTTGGGTCTTAATGTGCATGGCTAACTCTATGTACCTACAAGCTGATCCCCGGGCACACATTTCCATACAATGGACAGAGTTTTACTATTAGAATATGTCATATGCCTACAAGACCTCCCATTGATTGGCTCAATGTACCTTACATATCGTATCGTATTGGGAAGTCACTAGTACTCTTTTTCCAGAACCTCACATTTTTAAATGTCAAAGAACAATTAAATTAGCCCTTAGGCTCAGTTTGGAAGGAGTAGAAATACAAATATATACAGTACAATTATATACAAAATATAAGGTTTTGCATTCTACAAATTTGTATTGTACTCCTTTCAAATTGAGCATTAATGAAAATAGGAAAGTAAAAAAGGTTACAAAAAATAGTTTTTGATAGCCTCAAAACACTAAATAGGCATGTTTGTGCATATCCAATTTATCAAACTTTGAACCATGTATAAAGATCAATTTGGAAGAGTGCAAAATATAAATATATACGTGCAAATACAATGTATAGAAATACTGTAATACAAGGTTTAGCACTCACCATATTTGTATTTGCACTCTTCACAAACTAAGGCTAAGGCTCAGTTTGGAAGTACAAAAACAAATATATGGAGTGCAAAACTGTATTTTGTATTATTTTTTTATGTATTTGTACTCTTTTCAAACTGAGCATAAGGCTGTATTTGATTGCAATGCAAATAAATTTTCATTGATACAAAACCATGGCAGTGCCAATGATTTGAGTGTAAATTCTGACTAATTTTTGTTTCAAATTTTATCTTATTTTGTTTAATTGCAATAAAAATTAAGTAAATTAAGATATGAAGCAAAATAACGTAAAATCCAAAACAAAATTAAACAAGAATTTGCATTTTTTTACATTCACTCCCATGCATTTGTACTAGTGCAAATGAATTTGCACTACAACCAAACCCAACCTAAGGGACACTTCATGAAGAACAACAAAATATGTACAACATTTTGTTTACAACCTTTGCAGAATTCTGAAAGTTCTTTGTCGATTACAAATTGTAGAGGAAAGTGTCCCCAACAAACTGGGTCAAATTCTTGCTTAGGCTGTGTTTGATTGCAATACAAACAAATTTGCACTAATCCAAAATCATGGCAGTGCAAATGATTTGAGTGTAAATTCTAACCTATTTTTGTTTCAAATTTTAACTTATTTTGTTTGATTGCAGTGCAAATGTAATAAATTAATACATGAAACAGAATAAAATAAAATCCTAAACAAACTTAAACAAGAATTGGCATTTTTTTTTACATTTGCATTCCCATACATTTGTACTAGTGCAAATAAAATTGCACTGCAACCAAACACAGCCTTAGAAACAACAGGGTAGATGGCAAAAGGAATTATCATCTAGTTCTCAGTTCTCCCTATTTTGTTAAAAAGGAAATAGAGAAGTCGGGCTAAGGGCATGTTCATTTGCTTTGAAGTCTGACATCTAAAAGTGCAATAATTACATTAAGAGGTATATTGGTATTGGTGAATTTTTCTTTCCTCTGAACTTTGAATGCAGAGAATATTGTTCTGAATTCTGAAAATTATCAAATATTCATTTTGACCCCATACATGAGAGTTTTTGTTTGTCTTTTAGAAGTATCATTAATGATCGCACTTTAAGAAATAAGAGAGAAGAAAAAATAAACATCCATTATTAAAAGATTCTTATTAAGAAATAAGAGTTAAGCAGAAAAAGCCCTGAGCCAAAAAGGGAAATTAAGCGCAACCTTTGGATTTTCAGCATAACTAAACCATTGCATAGATCATATGATACCTTCGATATGATTGATTGGTTCATTTTGCCATTTGACATTGCCTCTATCAAAGCTTCCCCCAATTGACAGTTGACAAGTCTACTTTTTTGGCAAACAAGTCATGAGGGGAATCTATGATAGAGGCAATGTTAGCGTGTTTTGGGCCCACTTCGTTGTGATACCTCATGGAGATAGTGATTTGTGTTCGTATGGTTATGTGATGAAACCCAAATAGCTAGTTTTGGTGAGGCTGGATTTTTTTAAGTAAAAACCATGCAAATATTTTAAGAGTATGGCATCCAGTCGCACATCGGGAATATGTTAAATTCATGGGGAAGGGGTAGAGGTGTAAAATCGAGCGACCGATACGGCATTGCTCACATGTAGCCTATGCAAAGTGCAGGTCATGCTATGCCGGTCGATATGCTGAGCCGCGGCTTGAGCCCACATGGGCCCATGTCGTGTTGTGTCATGCCATAGGCCAGGTTGGTCCATGAGCCAAGTCTTGGGCCAGCCCAAGCCACAAAACGGGCCAAGCCATGTTTTTTAAAAACTTTGAAAAAAATATATATAATGAAAATTTTAACACAAATTAAAAATAAACAATAAAAAATATCTTAAAATTTTATTTTATATGAACTTGATGTACAAAATTATTTATATATGCAATAGCAAAATAATATAATATAATAAAATTATATATATATATATATATTAATATATTATATATTTATTATATATTATATTATATTATATAACTATATATGGGTTGTGCCAACACACGGGAACATGCGACACGGTCTACTCGGTCGTGTCATGTTGTGCCAACCCATGGACCTAAAACCTCAGGCCTAGCACGGCCCATAAAATTATGTCATGTCGAGTCGTGCCAAGCCGCAAGTAACACAACCCATTTTACAACTCTAGGAAGGGTGGGATGGGGATTGCTTTGACAGGGCGGGGACGGGGATTAATCGTGATACTTGACCAAGGTCGGAGTTGGGGATAGGGAATGAAGTCCCCACCCCACCCCGACCCCGACCTCGACCCCGACCCCGACCCCAATTTTAAAATATTATTTATATTTTAAAATTTTTATTTATTTAAATTAAATTTATTTTTAAAAAATTACAGTTTACTATAAAAATTCTAGAATTCAGGTCCCCACGGAGAACCTGTCCCTATAGGGGATCAGGGATGGAGGACAACTTTTACCCCTAACGGGGATAGGGATTTATTCCAAAATCAAGGTCAGAGAATATGACTCCTACTCCGTTGCCATTCCTACCAATGCTTATTGAGGAAAAAATTGCAGCTTAGGCTCAATTTCAAGGAGTACAAAACTACAAATACAAATATGTGGAGTGCAATCTTACCAAAAAAAATATATAGAATACAAAACCTTGTATTTTGTATTACTTTGTATTTATTTGTACTGTACATTTGTATTTTTACTCTTTCAAACTGAGCCTTATGTGTAAAATAAATCAAAACCAAAATCTCCAAAAGACATTGTCAGTTCTAGTTGCCTCACCAGTCACCAGTTGATATGGTTATTGATGCATGCACACAACAATTTCCTAAGGTTGATTTTATCAGCTTTGTAACATAAGATGTTTATCAGTTTTGTAACATAGATGTTGGGTAAACTGTGGGGGTGTGGAATGGCGTTTTTTAAACTAGGCTTTTGCATGAACCCGGAGTAATTCTGTATGCCCTTTATCGCAACCTGTACGTCTTCTTTTCTTTCTTTTCCTTCACTTCCCATTTCAAAACCAATTTGGCACTTCCTGAATATATCATTTACTTGGTTGAATGATCACAGGAAAGAATCAATGAACATGTATCACATGAAAATATGAAATATTATACACCAAATAATGGAAAACAAATACTAATATACTATATTCCTCATTCCTTTTCATTTCCCTTTCCTTTCTAATAATATTACAAGATGTTACATGTAGCTAGACGACCCCAATAGCAAATCAAGCATGTCATCAGGGGTTAAAAGAGTTGTACCGCCAAGAATCAATTCTATATCTGGCCTCCCGCTTTCGGATAGTGCCTCCTGAGCTTCATGTACCTGATTTTCAGAGGCAACCAAAGATCAGTACTTTGAAGCACACGTACAAATTTCCTTTTTACTGGAAAAGGGTGTCAGGAAAATATTATATTTTACATATTCATATCTACAATGGAAAGTTAGTATTTAACCAAAAGAGAAGATTCTGAGAAGAGCTTTCAAATTTAGATTGGAAGGTTTAAGAACTACAGACCTCATGACCATTGATGCCCCCTACAACAAAAACCAAAATAATGTTCTGATCTCCAAGACTTGGTTTTGCCTGCAGTTAACAAAAATCAAAGTTGAGCATTTAGAAAGGGAAAAAAACTGTATACCAAGCAAATAAAAGCAATAGGTCATATAAGCATACTTGTCCAAGACCAAATCTGCCAAATCCACTTTTAAAAAGTCGTCCAACCGTAGAGGAATGATACTCTAATCCAGGTATATCATGCTTGCCCAGGACAATGGTTAGAAGTTTATAAAGCAATCCTCTAGACATGTTTCCGCCATAGTTACTTTCTAAGGCTAGTGGCCCTTCTCTCAGTGCCTTATTCTTCCTCTTCAAATTGGACAATTTGTGAAAGAGTTTAAAAAGATTATCTACCCTATCTCGTAATTCCAACTTAAGTTGCATATCACCGTACACTTGTTCACTATTAGTATCTATATCTTCATCACCCCAGTTACCCCACTGCTCATCATCAAAATCGTCATTTGCTGATTGATCTGACGGCTCTCCCTTGGGCTTCTCAGACTTGATCTTGTTGAAGTTGGCCTCAAGTTCCTCTTCAATGCCATGGAGAAACTTCAATTTTGCAGCTACAGGGTTTTCAATGATTGCTTCCACAATGGATTCCTTTAAGAAATGCTCCTCTTGCCAAGAAAAGGGTCCACCAGACCCAGATGTCGGAAAATTCTCACCAGCCAAAATATAACCAATAATTGCAAGGAGCAATGCATCCTGAAAAGAAAGAAGACTTCTAGAAGATTCCATGCTTTGATTATTCTGTTCATTTGATGTCAGTAAAACACTCTTGTTGATGATATCACCAATCTGCGCAGAAAGACTCTGACTTGTGTCTCCAGCACTTATACTCAATATCTTCTCAGCACTGACAAATGCATCCCAACGGGAGCTATATGGTTCACTCAGTGCAAACTCTGAAGCAGCTGCTAACTGAATAATTCCTCTGTTTCTCATTAGAGATAATTGGTTCTCAGCTAATGCTCGAACCATATAGCACAACTCTGAGGTTGAAGTAAAACCAGGGCGTGTTTTCATATTTGCAGATACTCTTTTCTGACGTATTATTTCCTGGAGCCATTTCTTTATCAGCAAGATTCCTTCTTTTGTTCTTCTATCCAGTATAGCTTCCAAGTAGCATGCACCCAGATAATTCTCAGAGGAGACAAAAGACCCATTAAGCATCTCAACCACAGAATATGTGAAATTTCCAGCATGGGATTTACTGGTAAGATCAGTAATATCAATGGTTTGAGATCCAGATTTACTAGTATTCCAACCACATAGAAAAGCTTCAATGCTCTCCATTAGTCTAGAGTTATTAATCTCGGGTTCTTTGCTAAGAAATTGCCCAAGTGGTATCTGAACATCAAGGGGAGTACGCTGTAAACTAGCTTGGATGCATTTGTCTTGGATTTGTGAGCCTTTCATTTGCATGGAAGATGTTCTTCTATTATGGGGCAACGATGAGAACATTCGGTCAACTAGTGAATCCCCATGACAACATGGAGTAACAAGGTCAAGTGTTCGGTCAACCAGTAACAAACCTGCCGAGCGTTTGCGCCTCCCCACATCATAAAGACTAGACATGTCTGTCAAAATCTTGCCAATAGTATTTGACAGTACACCGAGAGAAAATATTTCCATCTTCAGATCCATCTAAATGTTTTAGAAAACGAAATGATGACCATGGAACAAAAGGGAAAGTATGCAGTCAGTATAAATAAATTAGAGGATAAACAAAATGACAATTTTTGAAGTTGAAAGCACCCAACTCTAGTCAATACCTTGGCAGCCAGATAGTAAAGAAAATGTGCTGTAAGAGTTGCCCCAGGAGGAGCTTCATCACTGTCTGAGGATAATCCATAACTAATGGGAGGCAACCCAGGGCTAAGAGAGTCTTCATGTTCATTCGATAAGCATGCTTCAGCGACTGTTCCCTCTGAAGGTAAAACAAAGACTCTAGATGAAAGAGGACATAATATCATCGGGAAGTGTTGCACAGACACAACCAATCTGTGCCATCTCTCTCCTGAATAATTCATAGAATAACCCTCTTTTAAATCTCTACCACTGGAACTATCTTCAGGACCAACAATCTCCTCTTCACCAAAAGCAAATTGTGACCAGCCCTCATCTTCCAAATGCAATCTTTCTGGAAAACAGCCTTTTTCTGACTGTGTAAATTCACCAAGAACAGATGAACCATGTGCCCTTGTTTCAAATTTCCTGACAAGCTCTTCATAATCTTGGAGAAGCAAGGATTCATACTCACGAAAAGCATCTGGTCCCAGAGGTGAATTAGCATCACATGAGTGGGATATCTGGAATTATAAAGATAAAAGCAACAAAATAAGATTTGACCACCAACTGAAGGAAGAAAGAAAATTTATAAACCAAAACTTCACTCTGTAAATCTAATGTAGCAAGAAACAAACATTTCACATATGATGAGACAAGAAGTTATAATGACTTGATGAGACAGCAAGAATGAAACATTTCAGTTCTAGAACCCTATCATCCGTCGATCCCTAAGAATGGAAGCATAACTGATATTATGTATGCAAGGTTCAAAATATCGTTACGCCCGAAACGCCGGTAGGGGCGTATCAGGCAATACCGATAGTGTTTTTTTGGCTTTTTTTATTTATTTTTTCAAAACTGGTTCAGGGGGGCGGTTTAACGCTCCTCCACCCCGTGAACCGGTTAGAACCCCGATACACCCCCTGTAGAGGCATATCAGGAAGCCACCGGCACGATATGTATCGGCTGATACGTATCAATACTTTGAACCTTGTATGTATGCTCAAAATAATGATTAAAAGAAATTATACTGTGTCAAAGTCTTCTTTTCAAATGTAAACTCCAAGCATCCATGGTTGTATGGTTCTGATAAAAAGAAAATTAGAACAAATATGATAAGTATTTATTTGATTTACTAATCGATGCTCACTTCTATTGATTTTCTTATGTTTTCACTTGTCAAAAGTGCAGTATGACGACATTTTACAAACAAACATTTTAATTTATATGCATGATGTAATACTCTTTGATCCAAAATGTGCAACAGTTACTCTTAAAGGGAGTGAGTGGCCATAATGAATTAGATAATATCAAAGTAAATCAACTACTTTATGGTTGCATTTTCCTTGATGAAAAACTGGTGCAAAAGCATAATTGAAAGCCTCTCACAACTTTTGTTGTAGTGGCAGTGGGTGCAAATTTGTTTCTAACCCCTTTACCTTGAAACAAGCAAAGTTTATTTCAAAACCAATTGGTTAATAGATCGATAGAAAAGTAAAGAGAAAAAGTTTTATTATTTTGGCATTATTGACTAAATTGAAAAGAAAAAACAAGGAACTTAGTTAAATGAAACATGGTTGGCAAGTTTTCACCATGCATGAACAGAAATTCAATACATAAGAAGTTCAAGACAAAAACCATGAAACCTCATCAATCAAAAAGAGAGATTAAAATGGAACAAGAACCTCTGACATGGATGTTAGTATAGTACAATGAAGAACAGTTTGGTGAGTCGTCAGACAACGCAGTATATACCGATGTGCATCACTCAGAAGACGTGATGTGATGACCACTATTTTCTTTACAGGGTTGAAATTTGACTTCCAGTTGACCACCTACATAGAAAAAAGTAATAATTAAAACTATTCATTCCCCCCCTCTCCAAACTCACTTAAGATGCCAAAATAAATTAAGAAAGAAAATATCTACAAAACAATCTAACTGTGAACAGAAGAATTGAAAATATTAGGTGCATGAATGATAGGCAGAACCAATGCATCTAAATCATCCAGATTGCTTAACTGCTAAATTCTAACACATTCTGATGTCCTCTTCAAGCAAAAACAACAGAGAAAATGATATGCCAGCACATGAGAACATTAACTGCAAACCCACTGAAGGCAGAGTCAGTTCCTACTCCCTAGTGCCACTTATAAGCAAGTAAGCATCTGAAAGGGTCTTAAATATGATATTCCATATAGTATTTTGATCTAAATAAGCAATTAAACATCATCTTTATATATAGCATTTAGCCAGTGATTTGGACATGAGCAAATGGCTTGGCTCGTTCACTTGCCAGGCAAGGGATAAATAGGGAGCAAATCTTTTGGGCTACAATGTAAGGGATTCCAATGTACTTTATGCTACTGCTAGTAGCTGCCCTACATTTTCAGTTGTACATAAAAAAAAATTCTTTATTTCTAATTAATAAAAGTTTCAGTTGCCCATCAACAAAATGACATCTTCCCAATGTGGATAGGGGATTTTTCTTTTTTTTGATCAACAAGAGAAATTCATTTTATTAAATGATTATAATTTAGTACAACTGTTGGATGCTTCCAACCCAAAAGTTTACAGGTTTTCCCAGAATAGATTTGTCTGTCAACTCTCTGTTTAGCTAGAAAATCAGCCATCCCATTGGCAATTCTTCTCACCCAGATGAACTTTGAACTTAGTTGCTTTGCAACAACATCAATCTCCCTAAAATCATGTCTGTATTTCCAAGGTGCTGCTTTGAGATGTTTAGCTCAACGAATTACTAGTTGTGAGCAAGGTTCAAAATATCGCAACGTATCGGGCCGTATCGGCCGATACATATCGTTCCGACAAGAACCCAATACACGGAACATGTATAAATCCTTTGTTCCACTTCTTTTTTTACGTATCGGCCGATATGGGCCCGTATCAGGCTGTTTCGGATCTGTATCTGCCGATACGGGCCAGAAACAGTCTGATACAGTTCAATACATATGATTTCGGTTCATCATTAATTTCGTTAAGCAATATTTAATACCGAATCTCTCATTAATGTCATTAGTCCTTTATTTAAGTCTAACTTCTCTTTCATTAATTACTCAATTACTCCAAAGCACATTTAAATTTGAATTTTTAGCGCCTAATTCAAATTCTCACATTAATTCCTTTAATTAATGATCCCCTCTCATTAATTTCGTTTTGTTAGAGTAAAACTTCAAATTTTAGCTATAGCTAGGTTTGAACCTTGGTCACTTGATTTTAACAACCACAAGTTCGCCAATGAGCCATACATATTTGTCTGCTATGATCATATGTATTTTTAATTTTAAGTAAATTTTCACTTTTCTTAATGTGTGACAAGTGTTTATTAATAAATGCTAGAATTAATTATTAAAATTTATATACTAATAAATATTAAGATTAATTATATTGGTTTTTTGAAAATCGGCATTCACATTTTAGTTTTTTTTTTTTTACATTTTAGTTATTCCATCATTTTTCAATGGTCACTAATTGTGTCCCAATATGTCACACTTTATATAAACCATTAAATTATGGTTTTTTTTACATTTAAACGACTTATCTACAATCATATAAAGTTTGTAACTATTGTTAGTAATATATTTTTTAGGATTTATATGAATTTTCTACTATATTTATGCGTATCTTGATTTTTCATTCGTATCCATACATATCCAAAGCGTATCCCGATATGTCTCTTAAAATTGTCTTTCCGGCATAGTTTTCAAGGTGTCTAGGCGATTCTGGGCTACACTAGGGCACCTAGTCGCCTAGGCAATAAAAATTTTATTATAATATAAAAATCTGACTTTTGGCTAGTTTCCTAGTTTTATATACCATTCAGCATGTATGTTAATTGAAAAAAATAACAATTCTCTTTATTAAGAACATTACATTTCCTCTAAGAATGTGGAAAATCATCATATCTAAAAGATAAAAATCTTTAACATATATTAATTTCATTATTTTCAAAAATAATACTACTATAATAAGTATTTAATAGAGAAAATTCATATTAATTAGCAGCTAAAGATGGTTATCAACTGTATATGATAAATATTCAAGATGGAAAGTAAAATAGGGAAAAAAAAACAAGGATGGAGTTTCTGTTTTATTTAATTAGAGAGAGAATAGAAAAAATAATTTTATTATTCTATTCTTTCTTTCCTCTTTCTTTTCTTTCTTTCTTTCTTTCTTTCTTTCTTTTTTTCTTCTCAAAACCCTTTGATCTTTTAAATTTCAATAGTAAAACATTAAAACAAAGTATAATTGATATATATAGCATATAATAAAATGTATTAACACATACATTAATAAGATAGAGCAATATAAATGATATTATAAAAGGCGCCCACCTTGTCATTTTTGTCGCCTAGGCGGGCACCTAGTTGCTAAAAGTCAAGGCGTTTGGGCAAGGCCCGCCTAGGTGACACCTTGATAACTATGCTCCCAGTACACCTTGTGTTTCCGATACTTTGAACCTTGGTTGTGAGTCGCCTTCAACTTCCAAGTCCCAAAGATCAAGTTGTCGTGCTAATCTCAATCCTTGAAGCAATGCCCAGATTTCTGCCTTGACTGAATCTCCTATGCCAACTGGACTTGAATACATCAAAACCACCAATCCTTGGTCATCTCTAATCACTCCCCCAATTCCTGCTCTTCCTGAGTTGCCCATAGAGCTACCATCAAAATTCAGTTTCAGCTTATTAACAGCCGTGGGCTTCCAATCCATTTGCACTTATTCAAGGTGTCTACTTGTTTGCACTACTTCAGACCAAGTTCTAATAATGTCATTGACTGAAAAAACTCTGAACAGGCAGGTCCAATGCTTTTACCCAATGTGCAACTCTCACTAAGATAGCTTCCACTAGCTCTTCCTTTGGCTGGATTTTCTCTACTGAAAATTCTATTATTCCTTTCTTCCCATATCATCCAAACCAATGCTGCTCTTACAGTCCTCCACATGATCTTCTCTCTCTTTTCCTTGAGCCTTAGGAAGTTAGAGTTGAATAAACTTACCACTTCTTGTGGGGGGACCAACTGCAACCAAAAAGAGAAAAAAAATATTCCAAAATACAAAACACAAGACAGGAAATTAATAAGTGAGGTAAGTTTTCACTACTAGCCTTACACAAAAGACACACATGACAAGAGAGTCAAGAATTGGGCCTCCTTTTCTGTAGAATGTCACGGGTGTTGATCTTACAAAGGAACACTTCCCAACACAAAGATCATATTTTGGGAGGGATAGGTGTACACCAGATTTCCTTTACTAGAAAAACTACCCCCTCCACCTAGGAATGGAAAGAACTAAAAGATTAAAGAAGGAAGCACAAGAAAATAAGCCATCAGGGGAGAGAGTCCAAATGAGTGATTCACATTCATTGTCTCTAAGACCCCTCCTGAATCTGAAATCCCAATTAACCCGAGATGGAGAGGTTACACCAAACACGGAAACTGGTTCAAACTTATAGGCTGAAAGGGAGTAAAGTATTGGAAATTGTTAGCAAAGAGGCAAATCACCAACCCAAAGATCTTCCCAAAACAAGATTTTATTCCCAAAACCCACATCAAAATGAATTAAATTTAAGGATGGAGGCACCTCTATTATTGCTTTCATGGGGATTTTGAAGAAGTGTACGAGTCCAGTTTTGCATCCCAGTGATTCTTTCCTAATCCATGTGTTCTTTCGATGACCCTGTGCCACAGCCATCTCCTTCCAGAGGAAATCTCCAAAGCCACTTCCCTAATAGAGTCCTATTCCTCTTGATCAGATTCCCAATCTAATCAACCTTGCTCCTTAGTTTTACATACTTGTTCCCATTTTATCAAATGATCCTCTCTTCCATCCCCAAGTTCCCATAAGAAACCCCTCATAATCTTTTCTAACTGCCTAGCTATTTTGACCAGGTTCCTAAAGGTTGACAGATGGTAGATACTAATGAGGACTTGATTAGTGTTATTCTTCTTCCCAAAGAAATGTAACTCCTTTTCCACATAGCCAGTTTTTTGCCAAACCTTCCCAAGACAGGTTTCCAAAAACTTTCTAATCTTGGGTTTCCCTCCAACAGGAGGCCAATGTATTCTATGGGCCAATCTCTCACCTCACAGCCTAGAGTTCCAACCAATAACAGAATGCTTACCTCTTCTATATCAATTCCTGCCACACAACTCTTATCCCAATTCACTTTCAAACCCGAAATCCTTTAGAATTCATTGAATAGATCCCTTAGATTTCTTATTTTATCCACATTACAGTCTTCACAAAAAATCATTATGCCATTTGCAAACTGTTGATGAGAGGCAATCACACACATCCTTTCTCCCTACCCTCCATAGTTTTCAAGGCGACAAGGTGAGGCTAGGGGGGCGCCTTGTCGCCTAGTTATGTTAAAAACATAGATCCTAGGGTAGTTCCCTAGGTACCATAACCATATTTCTTTAATAATTATTCATGAGTTTCATAAGAAAAGTATAAATTTCATATTAAAGTATAGAAAAATCAACATATTCATGAGAAGAAAAGGAAGAAGGAAAATAAAATTCAAAAAATATAGGGGCTGAACCCTTATTTTTGTTATAGGAAAAGAAGAAAATAAAAAGTA